ATGTTACACGAAAGATTTAAAAATACTGGTGTCTGAAGAGAAGGAGGCTAATAACAAAAAGCATCAATAGTTACGAGTTTACATACACGTTTATAGAATCACGTCGTATTTAACACCAGTTTCTCGCTATTTTTGCTACTTATTTAGAATTTATTACTACCAGGTGTGTTTTTGCTTTTTTTAAAATTATAATATTAAGTTACAAAAAAGTTACGAAAGTCAATGAAAATGCTTTGTCTGTTTCATTTTTAATATTATGAGTCAATATTAACTCAGAAACTATCCAAACTTACAATAAGTACATTTTTACACGGCATAAAAAAGTCTACTAGATTGAAAAATGTTACACTTTGACTTTCTTACGTATTTTCCAATGTGTTTTTTATCTACAAATGCCAAATAAACCTGCGCAAACCTGCTTTAGCTTGCTGCTGCTAGCACTGAATCTCCTAGCGTCGGGCTAACGGGCTAGTGCTAAAGCTAAACGCCGCACGCTAAGGCCAATACCGCGCATTCCAATGTACATATATCACGTCGTGCTGTTTATTTGCTCAGTCTTATATGTATTTAGGCTAATTGTGGCGAGCGTTCCGGCCACGTGCTCCAGTGAGAGTCTCCGGGAGCTCCCATTTGGCTCCGGGACTCACGCGCTAACCGGAGAAGACAGCATTTTGGCTCTGAATCCGTAAAACTATTTCTAAGACTCAACCAGATCTGGTACAAAAGTGAGATTCTGAGATGTGGGGAGAATATAGAGTTTCTACAGAGGCGCAGAGGAGTAAAAAAGAGGAGAACGGACTGTTACAAAGAGTTTTACAATAAATTAAAGATCAGTGCTGGTTTGTGGAATGACAAAAAAAGGAAAACAAAATAAAAATATGAGATATTTACCTTGGAAATACTGGTATCTGAAGAGTTTAGACCAATTACATAAAGAAGCTATGGGCAGTAGTGGAACGTAACAAAGCAAAAGTAGTAAATAGTGTACTTAAGTGTAAATAGTAGTATCTGTACTTTACTTAACTACGATTTACTTTTACTTCAGTACAGTTGAGAGCAGGTGTCCGTACTTTACCACTGCATTTCCTCTACATTTCTGAACTGAAATGAAAAGTAAAAGTGTTTTTATTATAGTCTGAGTCACGCTGAGGGTTTATTTGGAACACATTTATAGTCTGAGCAAATAAAAATATACAAATAAAAACTAAAAAAACTTTTCAGTTGTTTCACTTGAACAAAATTCAGCGCAAATCTGTTTCAAAATCACTACGTTTGAAGCTTCGTTAGGTTTCAAAACCTGCTCGAAATACTTGTATTTTTTACTCTTTAAGTACGTTTTTAAACAGGTACTTTCATACTTCGATTTTTTCCATGCTATACTTTTACTTGAGTATTTTCTTGCTCCAGTATTTGTATTTTTACTTAAGTCTAAAACAATATCGAGTACTTTTTCTACCTCCGACTACGGGCGAACTAAATCAAAAGTTATGAGTCAATTGTACATTATAGTCAATGGGAAATCTTTGTTAAAAAATACAATCGATAAAGTTTTAGCAAAAAAAACCAACAATGCATCTATTTAAAAAAAGAAAATAGAAAAATTATGTGGATAACGTTGCATAGGGAATAAAAAAGTCACTAAATGTTATAGTATTAATGTTAAAATATGAGATACGTTTCGTTATTCTATTACAATTTTCTATTTTGAATCGCTATTTAAATTGGCGTCTTTAGTTTTTTTTTTTGTTTTAAAGAGAAATTTTGAAAAAGCGTGTTTGACAATGGAGTTTTACATTATTATAGTTCGATCGCGTACAATATTTGCAGAAAAAAATGCCAAAAAGAACAATAAAAACAGGAAAATATGAATGTTTTGATGGACCAAAAAATGTGCGATTTCTAATTTTTACCGTCATTTCCCATAACCTTATAAATAAATATTGCGTTTAAAGCACATTTTGGTATGGCTGATGCAACTGTAATGATCTGTATGAGTCACATCCGGCTCTCGCACACACACACTTACACACACACAGCCTCTGATTACATTCACCTTTGACCCTTTGACCTTTGACCCCAAGATTTCCTCCTGAACTCAGAGGTCAAGGCCAGGGCCGTGACCCCAGCGCTCGTAGAAAACTCACAAATGCGTGACTATGTTTGGTTAAAGTGCAAAAAAATCTGACATTTTCGACAAATAATTTGATTTCTAAAGTCAGCTTGCCCATTCATTTTTCCCATAGACTTTAGGGAAGAAAAAAAAAACATTAAAAATTTGTGGTAAAAAATGTCCAAAACATCTAATTCCATTTAAGATCGGTTTCTGAAACTTTATAAACCGCTACTTTTTTGGACTTTAAACTACCGCGTTATGGATATCAGATACTTTAAACTTTTAATATTAGAATTTTTTTGAAAAGTCTATGGGAAAAATGAATGGAAAATGTACTTTGAAAACCTGAGATCTATTGGTTTACAGTTTGGTTTGGAATAAAAACAGCAGAATAAAACTCTCAAAAGCCATTCATTGTGCTTCAAAGAACAATGTGCTCATAAATATGAACAAATATAATGTCAAAAAGCAAAAAAGCAAATAAAAAATAAAATATAATTCAATTAGAAAATTTACTTTTTGCCATGAATATTTTTGGCAGTGTTCTGAAGTATATTTCGGAAATAAGGTGCACTTGCAGAAGTCCAGTCCACCATTTCCTCTCCTCCTCTGCCCCTCCCCTCTTTCTCTCTCTCTCCTCACTCTCTCCCTCTTTTACCTATCTCTCTCTTTCCCTCCTCTCTTTCTTCTCTTTCCTCAGTCTCCCCCTCTCTTTCCTCTCCCTCTCCTCAGTTTCACTCTCTCTCCGGTCTCCCCCTCTCTTTCTCTCGCCACAGTCTCTATCCCTCTCTCCTCAGTCTCTCTCTCTCTCCACAATCTCCCCCCTCTGTCTCTCCTCTTTTTTCCTCTCTCTCTCACTCTTTCTCTCTCTCTTTTCTCCCTCTCTCCATTCTGTAGTTTTTTGAGGATACCTCCCTCTCTTTGCTTCCTCGCTCTCCTCAGTCTCTCCCTCTCTTTCCTCTCCCTCTCCTCAGTTTCTCTCTCTCTCCCGTCTCCCCCTCTCTCTTTTCTCTCTCCACAGTCTCTCACTCCTCAGTCTCTCTCTCTCTCTCTCCACAATCTCCCCCTCTGTCTCCCCTCTTTTTTCCTCTCTCACTCTTTCTCTCTCTGCTCTGCTCTGTAGTTCATTCCTCACACCTCTCTCTCTTTCACTCTCTCACTCCTTCCTCTCTCTCTCTTTTCTCCCTCTCTCTGCTCTGTAGTTTTTTCGGGACACCTCCCTCTCTTTGCTTCCCCTCTCTCCTCAGTCTCTCCCTCTCTCCTCCGCTCTGTAGTTCATTCTGCACACCTCCATCTCTCTTTCTCCCTCCCTCTCTCTCCGCTCTGCTCTGTAGTTCATTGTGCACACTTCCCTCTCTCTCTTTCTCTCTCTCCTCAGTCTCCCTCTCTCCGTTCTGTAGTTCATTGGGTACACTTCTCTCTCTTTCTCCCCCTCTCTTTTCTCTCTCTCTGTCCTCCGCTCTGTAGTTCAGTGGGCACACCTCTCTCTCTCTTCCTCCTCTGTCTCCTTGCCTCTCTTTTCTCTCCCTCTCTTTTCTCCCTGTCTCCGCTCTGTAGTTTATTGGGCACACCTCCCTCTCTCTCTTTTCTCTCTCTCTCTCTCTGTTTCCTCCCTCTCTCATCGCGCACGTCTCTCTTTCTCTCTGTCTCTCTCTGTGTGTTTCTGGGAGTGTGACAGTGGAGTTGGGGTCAGAGCTGTTGTAGAGTCACTTTTATGAGCACATTTAAACATTTAAACATTTAAACATGTCTGACCCGCTGCGCTCTCAAATGTGACAGCTCCACGCGCGCCTACGGGACGCACAGCACGTACTCTCACGTACTCTCACGTACTTTCACGTACATCTCACGTACATCTCACGTACATCTCACGTACATCTCACGTACATCTCACGCGCACAGGTGACTCTGAATCCGTGACAAATTACTGAACACTTTGAGCTTTGGCATCAACACAGAATAAAATTGACTTTTTTTCAAAACTTTTTGTACAGTTTGTCCCACGCACGAGCTTTCCTCCTCGGGCATCAGCCGCCTTTGATGTGACGCGTTTTAAATGAATCGGCTCCTCCTGATGTGGAGCCGAAGTGAGCGCTTCGGAACGCAACACGTGAGAAGAGGCGCAACGAGACGGGAAGAAACTTTTACATAAAAATGTGAACTGAAAAATGTAAGTGAAAGTTTAATAACCTCCAGTGATCGGAGTCGCGAGCCTCTCTGTCCCTGACGGACGCAGAGCGACGCAGAGGGACGCAGAGGGACGCAGAGGGACGCCCGTGCGCTTTTGGAGCCGCGTTTGGAGCGATGACAGAGCCAAGAAACAGTCTGACAAGAATGAGAAGTCAAGTTTTCTAAATGTGTCTGATATAAGATGAGGCAGAAACAGTGACTCTGTGAGTCAAAGGTTTATTTTGGTGCGTTAAAGAGAGAGGCGCGTGAACCAGAGAAAAATACCATTTCTGTTCACACAGATTGAACTTGCAGACACGGACGTGAGTGCGCGTGCTGCTTTAAGTCAGTCGACGTGATGAACCTGGATGAAAAAGTTGTGTTTCAGTGACACTGCGCGGTCCTAATTTAACTTTGGAACAATTCGAAAGTGCATGAATGAAGCTCAGTGGAGAAAGTAGAACTGTGACTCTCATCTTCAGTCACATCTGTGCGCCCGTGTGGCATCTACGTAAATAACATAAAGTACAAAAGTACAACAGCGGCGCCTGAAGCAGCGCGTGAGTGACTCCGGGACACAGCTCTGCACATCCAAATAAGAAGGAACGTGACAAACTCTATGGTTATAAAGGTGTGCGTAAATCAGAAGTGCGTGTGTGTTTTGAGCACATCTCAAAGTGAACATTTGAAGAGTTTTGAATGAGTCCCGCCCCGTTACCTGCACGAGCCAGTGGCACGTCTCTCCGATGATCGGGAATCCCATGGATCCTTTGGGCATGGGCAGTTTGCAGTTCTTGTCGCGCGTGGCCGTCCACCGGAGCTGCCACAGCTGCTGAGACACCGCGAGCAGCAGCGCCACGGACACGAGGCACGCGGCCAGAGTGGCCAGCGCGGACACCAGGTCAAACGTGCTGAAAACCATCGCGAGGGAAGTCCCGTTTGTCCCGTTGGTCCCGGAGCAGCGGTGGAGCGCGGGGAGGAGGCCGTGTGCAGTCAGAAAAGAGCGCTCCGTTGTTGCGTAAAAGCGCAGTGGCTCGCGCGCCTGTGAGGTGCTGTGTGCGCTGAATGAATGGGCCGTTTGGAAGTCTCTAAAAGGACTCAGTCTCTGCGAGAACTCGGAGAAAATACCTGAAAAGAGCCACAGAAGGCGTCTGTCACTGGCACCACCGCGGTACAATCCACCTTTACGCACAGGACGCGCCGCCCGCTGCTCTGCGTTTGGCTGAAGCTGCAAAACTCATTCTGTGTTTACAAAAGTTTAGAAAAGTTTTCAAAACTCGGCAAAGTCCAAATCCTCAAATATCGAGTCTAAACGAGACTTTAAGAGATGTCAGAGACGTGCGTAAAACGTCTCCAAAGCGCGGTCCTGGAGCGGCTGTGAGCGGGTGAGTCTCGGCTCCACAGAAGTGTCAGAGATGCTGGAGGTCAGGGATGGACCGCGGCTCACGGACGACTGTAGCTGCGCGCCTCAGAGCGGCTTTGAAAAGGTGCTCAGGAGATGCTCTGGTCCTCCTCCTCCTCCACCTCTCTCTCCCTCCTCCTCCACCTCTCTCTCTTTCTCTTTCTCTCCCTCTCTCTCTCATTCTCTCACTTCTGTAGACTGCGCGCGTGCTTGTGCGCGTGCACTGTTTATACAGCGCACTGGAGCTCAGTGAAAGCCTCTCTCTCTCCTCGCGCTCTTAGCCCCGCCCCTTGAGCCTGGTGCTCGTGGAGGCTGCGTGGAGCGTGCTACGTCTGGCCTCGCGCCAGACTCACAAACAGAAACAGAGAGAGAGAGAGAGAGAGAGAGAGACAGAGAGAGACAGAGAGAGAGACAGAGAGAGAGAGAGAGAGAGAGAGAGAGAGAGAGACAGAGAGAGAGAGAGAGAGAGAGAGAGAGGCGAGGTGGGGGAGTGGGGGGGACGCAGAGAGAGAGAGAAAGTCCGTCCCTCCTGAGCTCGGGGCTTAAGTCGTGTCCTTGTTGTAATAATAAACACTCTGGTTCTTACATGAGTTAAGAATTTTCTGCCAGAAGGAAAGAAAAAGAATGATTTTAATTTGGCATTTCACCCCAAACTGAAGCGTCCTGAAGCGCGCGGTGCGTCACCACAGCGTCAGGCCACTTCGAGCCCGTTTGAGTGAAGTGCTCGTGGACTGACACACAACACAGTCACTACAAGAACCATGTAAACACGAGGGTCTGGAGAGTCAAGCCAGTTCAGTCACGCTTAAAGAGTGAGGTCAAGAGCAGGGAGAGACATCCAGCACTACACTGTTCCCTACTCTCATATTAACTAAGAACTCAAATAAAGCCCAGAATTTAAATGTTGTTATTATGATTACTTTTTATTTATTTTCAATTTTATTTTACTATTTATTATTTTTTTTATTTTAATTTGTTTTTATTTTTTATTTAATTTTACTGCATTATTTATTTATTTATTTATTATACTTGTATTTTATTTTATTATTATTTTATTTTTTTTATTTGACTTGCATCTTTCTTTTACTGTATTATTTTTTCTCATTTTTATTTATTTATTTGTTTTGTTTAGTTTTTTCTGCACTAAAAAAAAAAAAAAAGCAGCGAGGAGCCTGCAGGTATTTTCTCAAAGGCTGAGTGCAGACTGCGGAGCGTCTGGGATTCCCTCGGAGCCGAGCGGAGGGAAGCTCGATGCCGCCGCCTAGAGGAGCACGGGGGAACAACAGGAGACACGCGGCAGAAGAGAAGAAGAAAGGAGGATGAAGAGAAGAGGAGGAGAGCGTGTGACGTTGGGAAAGTGCCAAAGCTCGTTCACTCTCAAAATAAACTGAAAAAGGTCCAAAAAAAAGAGACTTAAATGACTAATCCAATCCCTTAAAGGAGCACGGTGTCACTTTTAGTTTTCATTCCTGTCGCTTGCTTGTTTCTAAGGACTGGTCATTTCTCAATCTGAAATGAAATGTTCCGCAGTATGACTTTAAACTGCTCTACTTTACATTTATTCAATTACAGGTGGTTTTATAGTTCAAAAATACCTTGAAAAACAGGCGTTCTGGCTGTGAGCGGGGTCTCCTCTCCATAGATCTGACCTGTAACTTGGTCCAGTTTGGTCTCCATGGAGATAGAAAGGTTTAACGCCGTACTGCGGGACATTCCAGACAAAGCAATAACATATTAACATATTAACGGAACTAACTTTTCCACCAGAAAAGTTACACAACGCACCTTTCAGCTAAGCCCTAACCTTAAAGACTCACTGTGTAACTTTTCTGGTAAAGGGAATGCCGCTTGCTTTATCTCCATGGCCATGCTTTGGCCATAATATTCCACTGTATGTGTTTAAACTGTATTTCAATACATGCATCAAGAATTTCGAACTTCCGGTCATTGCACAATTCATACTGGGAAGGATTTTCTGAAAAAAGTGAGCATCAAACCTCCATGTTTGTTTTCACAGTGGGAAAGTGACAAATTCTTTTCTAGTCTTTTGAACCATATCACTTTTGTTTCTGGTTCTGATATTGTCATATTTTAGTTTTGGGATTCAGACATTGTAATTGTGTGGTTGTTGGATCCTAACAGCGGAAAACGGCTCGAGAAATTAGTTTGCGAACTTCATAAATGCAAAAGGGAATCAGATGTGTGTGACTCAAACCTCTGTTCAAACTGTTTCTCTTCCCAACGGAATTGAAAAATAGTGAAAGGTGAAGGTGATGGGCAGGATTGATCCACAGGAAGAACCAAAAAGGAAACATTTGTCTGACTAAATCATCCTGAGTTTACAGAGAACATTTTGTATGTGGAGCGACAACAAAGCAAAATCCTGATCCCTCACTCAACCTCGGTTATGAATTTAAAAAGTCAACGCCAAAGTGAAAGGCACCAACTGTTCACCAAGAAACACCTTCCACTGCAAAGAGACCAAGACGTGATGTTGCTGTAAAACCACAAGAACAAGAAAGTGCAGCTCAGTCTGTTTGTCTTCTGCTCCTCTCACTTAACAAACGGGATCTGCTTTGTTGTCGCTCCACATACAAAATGTTCACTGCAAACTTGAAATGATTTAGACAGTCAAATGTTTCCTTTTTCGTTCTTCCTGTGGATCAATCCTGCCCATCACCTTCACCTTTCACTATTTTTCAATTCAGTTGGGAAGAGAAACAGTTTGAACAGAGGTTTGCAGTCACACACATCTGATTCACTTTTGCATTTATGAAGTTCGCAAACAAATTTATCGAGCCGTTTTCCGCTTTTAGGATCCAAAAACCACACAATTGATGTCCAAATCCCAAAACTAAAATATGACAATATCAGAACCAGAAACAAAAGTGATATGGTTCAAAAGACTAGAAAAGACTGACTTTGTCAATAGACACATCCCACTGGGAAAACAAACATGGAGGTTTGATGCTCACTTTTTCAGAAAATCCTTCCCAGTATGAATTGCACAATGTCCGGAAGTCAGAGATTCTTGATGCATCTACACTAAGGAATAGACTTGATTTTATTAGTTTCACTTTCGTTTTAGTGACATTGAAACCAAACTTTTGTATTTAGAAGAGAAAGTACAATGAATTTCAAAATAACACTTCAATCTGTAACATTTTTTTATCTTGATTTTGCAGTTCAAACGTCATTTAAAAATTCTTATCATAAAAAAACTGTTCATAATCAGATTTTGAGCACACTTACTGTATACCCAAAGCCACTGTTGATGTGCCATTTTAATAATCTGATAACTCCAGAAATCAGATAACAGTGAGATTTCTGTTGTGGACATGAACTTTCTTGAGGACTTCTGTGTTAAAAATGATGAATGACGAGTGAAAAGCAGAGAGGAGAGACACGCCGATCTCTGTTGGAAATGTAGACTTTCGCCTCATGAGGATCAGAGGGAGACGGATGGACGCGGCCATTTCTGTTTTTTATCTCAAACTCGCACCTCGTTTTTCTTCTCAACAGGATTTAAGAAGTCTTTTAAGGTTTTATGTCGCCATGGGAACAGAAAATGGACTTTGCCGTGATGATTTCAATATATTGGAGCCATAGATCCGGCTTTGTCTGTTACCATACTGATGCAGATTCTTTGTTTTTATTTTTTCAAGATGTTACTGATTTATCTGGAATGTTTTGCATTATGGCATTAACCTTAAAATCTTCACGGAGGCCAAACGGGACCAAGTTACAGGTCAGATCTGTGGAGAGGTGACCCCGCTCACAGTCAGAATGCACTGAAAAAAAGAACTTGCAAGATTTACTAGAAAAAATCAATTGCACCTTTTAAATCAGTTTTACTGCTGTAATATCAGGTACAATTTACTTTTACAGTATTAAGTAAAATCTACTTACCACCACAATTAACAGTCATGAATTTACTGAGTAATTGTTATTCAATTTTTTAAAAAGTTAGAAGTCATATTTATGTGAATAAATTAAGTAAAATAAATATTTTTATAATTAATTGCATTGCTGTGATGAAATACCGTATTTTCCAAACTATTGTGTGCACCTGAATATAAACCGCATCAACAAAATTTTTAAATTGTACATATATCGGTCGCACCTGAATATAAGCTGCAGGTGTCCACGTCTTCTAGAATGTTTTCAAGAAACATCTGTTTTTAAATAATAGTTGCCAATATGGACGCCGAGTGCAGGAATTATCTAGAAGGACTTTGGCATTACTTAGTATTTCTGGTTTTGTGAATAGCTACTGTAAAACCTTCAAATCGTATTGGTCATTATACAGTAGAACTTAGGTTACGTATCAAAGTATCGGAAAATATTTGTTTCTGTGTCCGTTCCCTATCCACACAGTAACGCGAAACCGCCTAGGTTGGCGTCACGTCATCATGACGTCACATGGGCGGTCAAAACAAGGAAGTGGAGCAACGTGTCTGAAGATGCAGCAGCCGATTTTGAGCCGAGGAAGATGACAAATGTGAAAGTAGTAGGTAGTTGTAGCTCCACTGTTTCCTGTTTGTGATTTGTTTAAACCGTTTTCCGCAATAGTGTCACATGACCGATGCCAGGAACCCAGCGAATCATTTTCTAATTTTATTTATTTATTTATTTATTTATTTAGAAGCCTCTTGAGATGTAGCATTTCATTTGCGAGGGTGTCCTAATACATTAACAAAAGCAGCATTTACAGAAAAGAAAGAGAAAACTAATCAAAACCAAACAAAAGACAAACAAACAAAGACAACATTCACACAACACACAGACAGCGTTCATACTGTACAATCCAGGATCCTAAGATCTACATACATCTCTCTGATTTTATCATCACCACACCTATATTTGTAAATGAGTAAAGAAAAAAGCAACTCTATGTACAACAGAAAATACATAGAACAAAAATTTATTTTTATCGAAAAGAGGAGCAGGAAGAATCAGGAAGGCACAGGTCACAGTGACACGGTCCAATAAGAAGAGCAACTCCAGCTCCTAAATCCATGTATCATTTGTTCATTCATTTTTCAATATAAAACCAAAAATAAGAAAACAAAAAAACAA